ATGCGCAATCACCTCGCGCAATGTTAGAAAATGGCCGAAATATTCAATGTTTACGTTGTTTTGAGTTGATGAACATATCTATAGCTAGGCTACTGTAACGCGCAGTCACTGTTGGTAATAAAGGCAACACTGGTAGGTTTGTGCCAAGACTCGCAAGAAAGCTTTTGTCTTTTTAATCACGCTACTAACAGTAAATGTCTGTAGACGGAACAGAAACTGAGAAACAGAAACTGTAGGTATAATTCAAACTTCAAGTTCAAAGACTGTAAACCGGCGAAACCGCACGCACTGACCTAGATACAATAATGTAACCCAAACCCAAGAGGATAGGGGCTATCCACACCTATCCTCTTGGGTTTGGTTACATTATTGTATCTAGCAGTGACCGACTGGTACGGACTCGGTGTGGGGGTTTGAAGGTGTTTTAGGGTGTGCGGAATTAAGTAGACCTCTCACCTGCGGCGCAAGCAAAACACAGATAGTAGAACTAGTAGTAGTAGTACTAGTAATACTAGTCAGTGCTCGAAATAAGAAGAAAAAATCTGGTTGTCCTGCGGACAACCCCGGCATCAAATCGGGTTGTTCGCGCAACAATTTTCTGGTTGTCCCAAAAAAAATCCCCAAATCTCCTATTTTCAATCACATAATAATATAATCAGAAAACACCCAAAAACAGTGGCGTAGCCAGGATTTTTTAACAAGGGGGCCAAAAAACAGCGAACTGCGCAAAATAGTGGATGACTTAATATTTCACTGGCTCCTCCGCCTCCCTCTCCACACCCTACGGCTCCCCTACCTCTCAGCTCTGCAATCTTTGTTTTGGGCGCCATGCGAAAAGGCACATTTTTGTTCATTGTTCTCTGCTCCCAAAATATGTAATTGTTCAGTGGCGGGTCTAGGATTCCAAGAAGGGGGGGGGTGAAAAACAGGGCGGGGGTATGGGGGTCCTCCCCCAGAAAATTTTGGAAACTTGCTGGTTTGCTGGTTCCAAATCGAGTTCACCTCTCATAAATCAGAAAACTGACATATGATATTATACCAGTGTTGGAAATAGCAGCTGGTCCCATATTTTTATATTATTCACGATTTAATTAACGATTAAGATTTCTTGATGAGCTAGAAAACACTCGGATTTGAAGTATGAAACTGAACATTATTGTGCCAGCTAGCCTATACCAGTTTGTGCATGAGATTGATTGTCAGTTCAGATGCAAAATATTGAAAGCAAAAAGGTTATACACCATAGATTAATTGGGTACCACGCGTATATAAGAGAGCCGAGTCGGTTAGAGTTAGTGTAAGGGTTAGAGATAGGGTTTCTTGGTTGTCCACCGGACAATGTCTCAGACTGGTTAGGTTGTCCGGCGCAAATTCTGGTTGTCTCGGACAACCGGACAACGCTTATTTCGAGCACTGCTAGTAGTACTAGTAGATATACTTCCTCTCACCCTCACATCTCAAATTGCTGCTACTGACACTGTACTGATATTATTGTGTGACATCAGAATATCTCTGTAATAATCTGTAAGTGTAATGTTAGGACACTACGATGTCCTGAGCTTGTTGTTTGACCAAATTTAAAATTGCTACTATTACTATTAATTTGCAAATCAAACGCAGTGATTTATTTAGTTATCTCTATTTATTAGCAGCTCTTATTAATTTGTTACTAGCCTGGAGCAGTAAGGCTCATAGTCATAGGGTCTATGTCCCCAGCCTCCAGGGTACTATCGGAGGTACCCTGGGTACGGTTCGATATATCGAAACGTACCCTGGTAACTATCTGATATATGGTTAGGGTTAGGGAGTAGGCGTAGGCGACTCCCTAGACTCGTTATGGAGTAGGCGAGGTACGGTCCGGCATATTAGATAGTACCAGGGTACGTTCCGATATATCGAACCGTACCTAGGTACTCTCCGAGTTCGTGTTTAGAATAAACCCAGTTTGGAAGTTCTAGTCTCTGAAAATACACCAGCAAACCGGCCCGAGTGATTCACTCGGGCATTCCTCCGCAAAAAGGTATAGGCTCGCGTTGTAACCCTATCCTCTTGGGTTTGGGTTACATTATTGTATCTAGCCCGCCCTGTGCTGCGTGCACAAACAACATGTAGCCTCAACATGAATAAGAGAGCAGGTAGGAAAGCGGGATTGAAAAATTTGTTTGACGCTCGATCGCTTCATTTCACACGATCACAGAACGAAAACACATCCAATTAACAGCTCCCATCTTGGTATCTAGCTATGTGTACATAAATGTTCACTTGTTCGAATTATAACTCTGTCCTTTGTGCTTGGGTGTTGCTATCCCCCGGGCGTGGAGGGAGGTCACGTGATAACGTTGACGATGACGTTCAAAACGTTAACCCTCACTCCAACACTGCCAACACCAACCTTCACACTAAATATATATATGTCTCGCCGCGCTATATATAGGCAATGTGATCCACAAAAATTAATCTATGGTGTGAAAATATAAAGAGGACGTATCATTCGAAAATCCCTAACGGCGCTACTTTCGATCGATCGCTGTAGTCGTGTGTGCGTGACGTCATGCCCTCGCGCATTGTGCTTGGCTTGGCGGGCCTCGAAACGGAGCTCGGAGGCAGGCTGCAGCTAATCCCGGCATGCAATGTGCACCATATTACTCGTGTATAAACAGCTAGACATCTCGTCCTCTTTACATTTTCATGGAGAGAACATTTCCTGCAGGATTTCACGAGATATCTCTGGCGGGAGTAGGTAAGAACAAAGGGCAGAGTTATAAATCGAACAAGTGAACATTTATGTACACATAGATACCAAGATGGGAGCTGTTGGATGTGTATTCGTGCTGTGACAGTGTGAAATGAAGCGAGCGTCGAGCGAATTTAGCGATCCAGCTTTCCTACCTGCTTTCTTATTCATGTTGTTTGTGCACGCAGCACAGGGCAGGCGTGTGGTGTACTTGTGTGTTGCAGATGAGCATTTGACCGGCATTTACAGGTGATATATGTGAAATAGAGTAGAGAACCATTAAGACTTTGGTACATTTCGTGTTTAGTTACCATTATTTTTTTTTATTGAGACGTTTCAAGTGCCTGTAATGCGGACTTGTTCTTGCTGCCAGTGGCAGTGGTTATATGCGCTTGTGAAGAAGGAGATACAAATCACAACAACAACAACAACAGCTTTTCTAATCTGAGGGTGCAGGGTTAAGACCCATTACTGCCTTTACTGGGGTGTGTGTCGGCTCGGACTAGAGTAAATGAGTGGCGTATTTACTCCTGATATTATCAGGATATTATATAATCACTGTACAGACTACAGACTACAGTGTATCACTGTATGCTCCAAAATGTACTGCAAATGACTACTATTAGGTACATGCATGGTATCATTGTAAACGTCGCGTGTGTATGCACCTGTAATGCGAGTGTATAAGAAATTATGCAACGTGTAAGGAGTGTTGAACTATAGTACTACTACTACTAGTACTAATAGTTGTATACTACCAGTAGGCAGTACCATGCAGCAACTTTGACTTCATTTTCAATTTGCACATGTATATTATCTCTGTACTTTTAGCACTTAGTAACTGTAGACTGTAGTCACGATCTAACGCTACACCAACATAATACATTATTATTATGCCACGTGGGAGGCCGAGGAGGACCCAAGATTCCGATGAAGAATGGCCCGTGAGTCGAACACAAAATTATTATTATCGCAAGCACAAATTATGAAATAAACTCATTGTAAAACGATTCAAATTGAATACATGTTCGCGCGAGAGTCATATGTATCGTTTTGCGCTGTTTCTCCATTGTTTAGGAGAATGAGCCAGGCACTCAGCCAAGTCAGGCTAGCAGAACACAAGCAGAAAAAGCCATCCAGAGACTTTCTCCTGATGAACGACAAAGAAAGGTTTGTGGTGAAAACTGTAACTTACGGCTAATCCTGCATAGTGCAAAAAAACACTGATAATAGCGAGCTAATATAGTATCAACATATAGGTTTAGAAAAAATAATGTTCAAAATAATACTTCAATTAAAATCAATAATTCTATTTTCCGACGTTTATGTTGTCGTCGTTGCTCTCGATAGGTGAACGAGATTGTGCAGTTCATGCTGATCGCGGATCAGCGCAAATACCCGATAAAACGGACAGAAGTCAACAAGCACGTGCTGAAGGAGCATTCCGGAACCTTCTCCATGCTCATCGACTCCGTCCGCGCCCAGCTGCGCGAGGTGAGCGTCTAATCGCGCGTGCATCCGTACAGATGCGAAAGCATTCATCTTCACCAGCATTCCAATCTTCCTGTAGCGGCTCGACAGTTTTCCGTCACGATTGATCGTCCAGTCTACTTAGGGTGGCTTGGTAGTTTTGTTCCGAGGGTGGCTCGGTCTTTTAACGCTGAGGGTGGGTGTGGGACATGGTATTCTGATGAGGGTGGCTGCATTGTTTTCTGCCCAGATGTTGTGAGGTTACTGAAGCTTGACCGAGCCATGGTGTGTTTATGGTTGTACCCGATTGCAGTGCGAACATGTCATATGTTTGACCCACTGCGCCTCAAATAATCAAATGTAGTAACGATAATGCGCTAATAAGCCCTGGCAACTTCCAATTCAAATAGGGACAGCTCATCTGTGCCGACATGTGCAGTTATAATTACACGTGACAGATTTTCACATCTTATATAGAAACATTTTATAAGTATGTTCCTTTTTGTGTGTTTAAACGTAAAGTGTTGATGTTTTGCAGGTCTTTGGCATGAAACTCATTGAGCTGACTAGTCGCAAGGAAGCTTCATCTCGCGATCGAGGACTGCGCGCATGATGCATCTGGATGGTAGGTTTTCTCGCCGGAGAGATTGTGCTGTGTAGAATCCACACAGCGGAGTACTCAGTTTGGGGTTTATTTTAGTAGTGCTTGATTCGAGCAGTATGATAGCTTACAGAGTTGATACTTTGATGTCTCTGTTCTCTTTACGATACCTTTACTCTTAACATTACCCTGTCTTTCACTGTATTAAGATTTTCCAATCATTAAGGGTTTTCGTTCCAAGTTACTTTCCAGTGGAATTCTAGCCGTACGGAAGGCGCTCTGATTAAATTGACTACGTCCACGAATTTTTCTATGGGGGGGTAAAATTGTAAACACAAATGATTGTGTGCATGTTTTTTACATTAAAAAGTCATTTAGAACTAACGGGGACCTAAGGCATCTCAATTCTTACCTGATAAAGATTGTGTCTCAACAGTAAAAAATTCCAAAAAACCTGGACGATTTGAGTATTGTGTTCCTGAACTATTAATGCTTGCTATTGGGCTATGTATGAGTCACGGTGTATGTTCACAATCGACAATATAGTAAAATAAGGAAGTATTAATGCAGGCAATTTCAACTATAAAAGTGACAACAGAATCTACTTATATTTTGTGAAAAAGCTGCGAGAAAATTTTTTTTTTTTTTTTTTATATTATTACGGTCACATAATCCTTTGTTATTAGGTTATGAGGCGTGTAATTGATTCCAATCGGTACAACTGCTTCCTGAGCCCTCCACCATCCGTCTATAAACGACATGCCCTCTGAAATCATAAAACTGAACGCCCGGGAGAACCCTGTGACACTGATTGAACCACACTTTCCCGGTTCCTCTCCCCATCGCCCACATGCTTTCTGAACTTACCCGGAGAGCAACCACGCGCACGATTTCGAACACTGACGTCCACGACGCCTTGCAGGTCCGACAGATTCACACGAAGAACGGTCTACTGCTCGTCATCCTCAGCCTGATCTTCATGAAGGGGAACGTTCTCGCCGAAGGCATCCTCTGGCAGTTCCTGTATAGATTGGACGTCGACGTCTCGAGGTGAGCGAAGACGTCGCCCGACGCTCACCGCGGAGTCGCAGGCGTGTCGGAGATGCGTCACGGGACGAGCATACATTACATTGCATGTGATACACATTGGCGTTACGCAGAAACGCGTGAAACCAGTTTCGGACGACGTGTTGATCCAGATGGATTGCATCACGGACGAGTACATAGGCATAGCATTTGTCCGTGTTATTGTTAACTTAAGATAACTTAATAATATATATATATATATACATATTATGTATATATATAATACAAAGAAAGTCAGACAACACAAGCATTGAGCCATTGTTAATGCTGGTCGCGGTGACAGAGGTACCGCCGGCGAGGTAAGATTGTTAACGCCGTCGCTCTCCCGGTCTTCCCGCAGGAAGCATCACCCGATCTTCGAGGATGTGCGCAGGCTGATCACGCAGGAGTTCACGAGACAGCTCTACCTTAACTACGAGCGTATCCCGAGCACTGACCCCGCGCAGTACCAGTTCACGTGGGGAGAGCGCGCGGAACACGAGATCTCGCGAGAACAGATACTCAACTTTGTGTGCGAGGCGAGTAGTACGATTTGACGCTCACTTGTTTCGCGTTGGGCGAACGAAGTTACGCGTGAACAGAAAAAAGCGTTAAAAAGCGAGAGAGAAAAAAGCATTAGAGTGAATAGAAAAAAGGGAGGCAAGCGATGAATGCATTATACCCGAGTTTGTATTAAAGCCGTGTTTTACTGTATTAAAAACAAACGCTATTGTATATTTTCCATTTATCGCCCATTCTCGTTTCAGGTGTATGGAGATGGTCTGACTCCAGAGCAGTGGACATCTCAGTACGCAGACATTCAGCAGTTGCAGCAAGAGGGCGCCGGTGGAAATCAGTGATCGACAACGGAATCCCACTCGGGAGTCAAGGCTGTGACAATGTGATAAACACCAACACTGTATATACTGAGGCTGCTGTTGTTAAACGCAGTCACCACGCTGCCACTACTATTTTTGTATCTGCCTTTCTTAATGTTATATAAGTTATATAACATTTTTTATAATAATTTCTCTTCGGTCAATACAATAATATTATTGTATTGACTGAAGAGAAATTATACTGTATAACATCATGCATTTGGGAACATGTTACTCTTTCGTAGGCACAATGCAATGTGTATTTAGTAAGTCTCTGTATTTCTTAAACTGTAAATGTAGTTGAAAATTATACGATGTCTGTAATGTAAATGTAGAATATAATTCAGTGTATTACGTAATTTACCAATGCTTTAATACGTATTTACTGAAATGAATTTATTCACGTGAACTGTAACAAACATTTGCAGTAAATTTTATAACCGCATTCAACGAAGCATGCGCACGTACGGATTGTAGTGGAAAACGATTATCACACAAGCTGCAATATACATATATATATATATATATATATTTATATATTATATATATGTATATATATTATAGAAACTATTTATATAAGTGTAAATGTGCACCATCCATCTATACATCCATCCATCCATCTATACATCTATCCCACCATCCATCCATCCATCCCACCATCCACATATTCGTGTGACCAATATAAGTTTACCAATGTCAAGGAACATAACATATTTTTGTAAATATTAATATCGAAATTTTATTCAAATCGTAATTTTACAACAGCAAAGTAATTTCTTTAATATACATTTCTGTTTATGAATATAAATGTAAAAAATTACATGGTCGTGACCGACGTGACGTAACACAAGATAATTACCGCTGCGTAAAAATTTGCATATACTCCCTCTATATCCTATTCCTACATATTTACATTTCATCTCAACAGTCATATATACATCATGAACAGTCACGTCAACAAAGTAACAGTGGAGTGCGAGCAGTCCTTTAGTCAATGTAAATTATTAATTAATGATTAATAATCAATATAATTAACATAATTATAACAACATTATTAATTAATTATTTAATAATTTAATTAATTAATTCTAATAGTAACCGTCACTCGTCTGGGGCAGATCGATCCGGTATCCCCGCCCGTTCACTGCACGCACTCCGTCGCTCGCTCAGGATCTCCTCGATCCGGCGCAGCCTCCACGCGCACGTGTCCGCGAACTCGCACGTGCGACACTTCCACGCCTCCTCAACGTCAACTCCCCGCGCGGCACGCGCGCCCCTCCAGAACCCCGCGCAGCGCGCGTACGCCGCCCGCAGCCACGCGTCGTCGTAGTCGACGGCGACCATCTCGAAGCAACACGCGTCCGCCTGGTGGCAGTACTCCAGCGTCGTCCGCGCGACGAACGGGAGGCTCTGCAGCCGCGCGAACGCGAAGTCCGTGAGGCTCCCGAGGGTGTCGCACGCCCGGCGGTCGCCGAGGTGATGGAGGACGTCGTCGCCCAGCCGTCGATCGAGACGCAGCCTCAGGTGCAAGGCGATCGTCGCCTTGGTTACGGCGCCCCGGACGAGGTCGTCAAAGAGTTTCTTGTAGAGCATGACCTGCATGCGGTGGGTGGCCATCTGGCTGGTGGAAGGCAGCGTTCTGTAAGAGTACGTGCGACTAGTGACCATTCAACATAGTGGGGTGTCAAATGACACGTGTCTATATATCTATATATATATATATAAAATATATATATATATATATATATATATACAAACGGGGAAAGTAGTTTCAGGAAGACAGTTTAAAGGGGGAGCGAGCGTACTTTGATGTAAATGATTTAAAGGGGGAATGCATACTTTGAGGTGGCCGGTTTAAAGGGGGAAGGTACTTCTTCAGTACATACTTTCAGGTAGACAATATAAACGGGTGGGAGGGGCGTTTAAACATTTTAACAACATTGAGGCGAATGATTTAAAGGAGGCGAGAGACACACTTTGAGGGTAGTGTGGCACTGTAGTAAGACAATACATTATAAGATTGCACCACGATTAGACATAGGATGACTCATCATCACATGTCCAAACACGTTTGTACACGGTCAGCATAATTATACAAATCAATACAGCACGCTCACCGGTTCATTGGTCACTGAGCTGTGACATCAAGGCATAATGAGATGCCAGGTCGCGACATATAAAAGGGCGAGAAAATAAGAATATTGGGGAACTATGTGTGGCACCTGTGTACAGATGTGTGCGTGCATATGTAGTGACATATTATTTAGTGACATTATATGTATTAAAATAAAGACGGCTATATTATACACAACGGCTTCGACCATCACTGCCTACGCTCACTGACCGAGGAGTAAGAGTAACGCACGAATACCAGTCTTACAGTAGACGTTTTAATGAAGCAAGGCGTACTTGGAGTTGGCCCGCGTCTTCATCTCCACGACGTCCAGTTGGAACGTCTCCGCGTCGCACCGAATCTCATCAACGATGCCCGAGAGGAACAGTCCCTCCCCGTAGGGGGCGCCAAACACCGGAATCTCTCGCCTCACGCACGCCGCTCCCGTCGCAAAGTCCTCCGCCATGCCGATGAGGTTGATGAGCTGAGTGGACATACAAACGTAAATAATGTAATGTAAAAAGTTAATAGTTACATTATCGTGTGTACCAATAATGTACGTACAAACCATTAACACGCTGTGAGCTAATCTAGTAGTGTTGTCAATCGGTTGTAATTTCGTAATCGATCATCGGTTGGACCCAAGTAACCGATGATCGGTTACAATCGGTTACTCGGGGTGTTGAATGCCTGCGTGTGCATGTACGTGTGTGCATGTATGTGCTCGTTTAGCCCTGTTTACTGTTTAATTGTTTTGCACTGTTTACTACTGTGTGTATAATACATGTATGTTAATAAAGGATAACTTGTATAGTAGCGATGATATCTCTGATTCCCATCACTTTTCCAAGTTTTCTTGTTGTTGTTTTTTATTGTTTTTTTTCGATGAAATCGATTATGGATTTTGATAACCAAGCGCTTGGTTCGAGCTACTGTTCAACCGATGATCGAGTATAATCGATGATCGTGACATCACTATTTAATCTAGTGATGGTCCGTGGGGTTCTGCAGTGTTGATCCGTCTATTTGATCAACTTTGTGTCTTTCTGTCTTCGATATAGTTCCTTGGACTTTGAAGACTAGTGTTTATGAGGTTATATTTATATTTGAGGTAGACACGGTGTTATTTGTATTATACACCGACGATGTACGTATGCTGTTGATGTACTGCGCATCACGAATGTAACTGCACGTACGTACGTAACGTAATATGCGTACTGTTAAACCTACTACGTATGTTTACCTTAACGGCAAAGGCGTCCTCAGGAGAAGTGATTTCTACATTGACGATGTCCTGGACTGCCAACTCTGTATCGAACAGATTAGGCTACAAACGTTTTACCTCTTCATGTGACATAACAGTTACATACACACAGCTGCACTGCTGTATCGTATGCGACGGTTATGTGAGACAATATTACAGCTCTCTATTTATAGTACCCCTCTAAACTAAATTGTCTGGGAAAAATAAACAAGGTAATATAAACATATTTAGTAAAATTTTGGAGTTTAAAAAAAGATGTGCTCTGCATACATATGTATCACTTAATAGTCCAAATAGTAATGTGGTTCTCACTAATAATTATAACCTCTTATGGCTTCATTTAACCTTGTGAGTGGTTTTAATAGAACTGTATACATATCGTTATGAGCGATAACTTTTCTCACACACCTCTAGCCAGATGAAGGTCAGTTCCGGCTTTCATAGCAGGTGTTTCCCTCTCTAGGCTCGGTTCCTCCATCTCGTAAACCATCTGCTGTTCACACCAGAGTTGCTTCATCAGGTCTGACACCCAGATGTATTTGCCACCTCTGAAAAAATGTATAATACTTAGGTGTTATAACCAACCCGTAAACATATTTCTGCTTTGCACCTGCATAATTCAATGTGGTTATGCAGAATCATATTAAACTAGCTATACTGACGTGTAACATGTGGGGTCTTATAGACTTCAGAACTGCTCTAGATTGGACACCATTCAGCATAAAGCTGCGAGATGGGTCTCCAGAAACTATGATGATAGTACTGATGTTGGTTTGGCTCGTCTTGAATGGCCTCCCCTTCGTGTCCGCTTTCTTCACTCAAAACTCATAACTTTCTATAAAATTTATCATGGTGAGATGAAAATTGGCATTCCTGTTCGCTGCACCCGCTCATCTGAGCGTGATCACTGTTTTCGGCATGTACAAACTTCTAAGGATC